ATGTTTTTTTTCTTTCCATTCTCTATGACTGATTGACCTTGAGCTTTTATGAAGTAGAATAGGAAACCTTTCATTCTGGGAGAATGATGAGGTGTCATTAGCTGCAACTGGAACTGTTCCAGTTATCTGATGGATACCTGTTCTGATTCAAGGTATCAATCAGAATGCTGTGACTGTGTATTTAATAGATGTCCTTTTCTTATTAATTTAACTACTTTGTGTTGGTCTGTCACATAAAAACCCAATAAAACACATGTAATCTTAAAGTTGTAAAGTCACAGAATCTAAAAAAATGAAAGGGATCTGAAAGCTTACCCACTTTGTGTAGAGACGCTTCATTCATCAGAGGTGACTATTCAGTTAAATAAGAATCTTGGGGATTTAAACCACATCCTTTCCTTCTTGTTGCGTGTAGTTATGCTTGCAGAGATTTCCTCCTCTTCTTTCTGGGAATTCCTACATTTTCCAGAAATGCTTTTGACATACGTCAGAGAGCAGGTAGAAACCTGTAGAATCGAGTTTACATATGCAGGTGGAGCCCACATTAGTGATGTGGTATCGTAATTATAGAGAGAGAAAGTTCTCGTCTGTCCAGGTGCGCAGAGGAAAAGGTATCTAATGACGTTGCAATGAAGTTTTGTTTTGCCCGAAAGCCCAACATGAATCCTTTAGTTTTCTGCCAGGACATGTCTGATGACATTATCCTACATATTCATGTTGAATATAGCTCCATTATATAATATGTGTAAGATGTCTGCTTGGGACAGATTAATGCTGCCAGACTGCTGATAACATTTAAGCAATTAAGACAAAATCAAATAAATAATAAAAAAGCATGACTAAGCTTGAATATATGACCACATTAAACCTTAAACAAATCTGAATGTTAAGTCATTGGGTGAAAGGCAGGATACACTCTGGACAGGTTGCCAGTCCATTGCAGTACATCAAGTCAATAGAAAACTTTAATACAGTCATGTAGGCTTAATTAATAGTATTTTTAGTATCCTACATGGTTCTATTATAAAAGTTGTACAGTGAAAATTAATAGTAAATGCAGCTTACACAGAGTTGGAAATCATATGTACATTTCAAAAGCCTTACTATAAGCTTTTGATGTATAAGCAGCTGTTGTTCATTGGTAGCAGATAATGTGTTGAGGGGATCCGTTTTGTTGGCCTTAAAATCGCATCTGCTTTTTGCAGATGATGTGGTCCAACTGGCTTCATCTGGTTGTGAGCTACAGTTTTCACTGGAGCGGTTTGCAGCCAATTGTGATGCGGCCGAGATCAGGATCAGTACCTCCAAATCTGAGGCCATGAGTAGAGTGCCTTCTTCGGTCGGGGGGTGGAGGGTGTCCTGTCCCAAATGGAGGAGTTCAAGTATCTCTGGATCTTGTACACAGACAGATTGGTGCAGTAAAGCAGACGCTGTACTAGTCTGTTGTGGAGAAGAGAGAGCTGACTCGCAAAGCGAAGCTCTTGATTAACCAGTCAATCTATGTTCCTACCATCAACTATAGTCACAAACGTTGGCTTATGACACAAGGAGCCGAAATGAGTTTTATCCATAGGGTGCATGGGCTCGAAGCTCAGTCATTCATGAGGGACTCAGGGTCGAGCTGCTGCTCCTTTACATAGAGAGGAGCCAGTTAAGGTGGTTCGGGCATCTGGTTAGGATGCCTCCTGGTCGCCTCCCAGGTGAGGCACATCCAACCAGGAGGAGGCCCAGGGGAAGACTAGGCTGGTCTGGAAAAGCCTTGGGATTCCCTCGGAGGAGCTGGCCCAAGTCTGGGTAGCAGACCTTACTTATTCTGCTACCCCATCAAAACAACCCAGGATAATCAGAAGAAGCATGGATGAATGGATGTTGTCCATTAACATTTGTAACTGTGTGGGATCAGCAAAAAGGGAAGCCCAAATCACCAGCCTTCTACCACTTTGCTTGATTGTGAAATGTTTGCAGAAGGTGCTTGTGCTAATTTTCTTTCCAGTTTTTTTTTTTTTAACTGAGGTTACCTTCAAAGAACAGGGCTTCTCTAAAACATGGCTTCTCTGCTAAATAGTGTAAGAGTGAAGCAACAGAAAATAGATTTCTTACAAAATGAAGTCAAACTGTTTTCATTGCTGATTTACTGTTGCATGAGTAATGTTTTGGCAGAGCTTTCCATTCCAGGTGTTCACCCTGAATTATTTTAAGTGTCACACCTAGTGTATGAAATAAAAGAGTATGAAAGGTTAGACCCCATGTTGCTACGGTCCTGAACGAGCAAATTCAATCAAGGTCCATAGTGATTAGATTAGAAGGTGTGATTCATTCAGCTGTTTATTTCGTATTTTTATGCACACAGGGTAAATATTGGTCATTGATAGCAGTGGAGTGGTTTGAAATGAAATGAACTCATACAGCCTTGAATTTGATCCTTTCTACACGATTGGTTTCTGAATGTCATCATAGCCTGACAGAGAAATAGCTTCAGCTGTTGAGAAACATTATGCAAAGGTAAAGGCCTTGGCACCAGGTCAAGGTTCAGCTCTGTCTCAAACAACAATTTTAAAAGAAGTCAGGGGCCACAGAGCTGGAGCTCTGCAATGAAGCCCTTCACTACGACCTAAAGACATTTTGCTCTCTGCTTTTAAAAATATGTTCCTTTCAGTGTTTCATTGTGCTGATCTTGACATGATCAGCTGCTCAGATCTGGAACTCCTCACTGTTTATGTAAGCTGGTCTTAAGAACCCCCACCTAACTCCCCACCTGCTCTCCCTAGTAACAACTGCCTCTCTTAGTATGGCTCCTCCACTTCAGAGGCAGTTCTTGATTGGTCTATATTTTTATATCTAATTGCTGGAGATGAACAACTGTGTTTCAGGTGGTGGGTGTGGAACTGAAATCTGTGGCAGTGTGTTAATTCTTCGCAAGACTGAATATACCAGGACAGTGAAAAAATTGTTTTTTTTTTGTTTTTTTTTAGCTTTTTGTGAAGGAACTGATTATGTTAAACACGGAAAGGCATGCAAGCTTGGTGTCACGTTCTTCACACAATAAAACAAAATTTATGGTTTTCTGAAATTTATGTGGAAATCAATGTCATTAATAGTTTTTGCGTTTATCTACTGCAATTTTGTTTTCCTATTTTGTGCTTATGGTTCACAGTGCAAGACTGTGAATGCTAAATGCAAATGTTTCTACAATAAAACAGGCACTGGAAGTGCAAGACTGTGCATAAGAACCATCACTGAGGCTATGCAAGCTACCTTACAGCAAACATGCATGTTATTAATAGGAATTTTATGAGTGCTTATCATGAAGTAGTGCAACAACTGAAAATCTGTGATGGGCATTTCAGCCTCCATGAATCCAGATGGATCCATAGTTTCCGTGAACAAAAATGTTCCACGTCTTACAGCAAATTCTGGGTTGAATTTAGGTCTAGACTTTGACTATATCATCATACAAAGAGGCCTCAATCTAAAACACTCTATTGTAGTTCAGGGTGTATGTTTAGAATCACCTAAATCTCAAGTGTTCTGCAGCCTCTGTCAGGCTTTGTTCCAAGACTGTCCTTGATCTAGCGCCGTCCACCTTCCCATCAACTCTGGCCTGCTGAAGCAAAGGTTCCCCACAGCATAATGCTGTGGGGAAGTCCCCACAGCATTATGCTGTGGGGAAGTCCCCACAGCATTATGCTGTGGGGAAGTATGTTAGGAAACAGTATGTTTCCTAACTGATGATGCAGTGTTACCATCATATCACACTACTTGTAAAACACAACCAGATCATAAACCTGTCTGGAATATTTTAGGTGAAATTACACTGTGGATTTTGGATGGGTTGTCTAGTCAGTTACTTTGCTACTGTGTCCTTGCACAGTTTGGGCAGAACTCAAAGACTTGTAGTATTGTGGATAATGTAATGAAGAAGTTATGGTTTCAGATTTAAAAAACTGGTCATTGGTGCATTGTCACAAGCAGCTTTCATTACTTTATATTTTATGTTTGGATATTGTTCAGTGGACATTTGAGCAGTAATACCAGTGAATACATTATTGCAACTAAGAAAAAACTTGCAGCATTATTAAAAATGCTCAGGCTGTAACTAAACTCAAGTGAAATAACTAAAAGGGCAACAGGAGCAAACCCGCTGGGTCATGAGTGTTTCTGTTCCTTGAGAAAAAGCTAAAGTGCCTTTCCTATGTCGCCCTTCCCTCCCTGTCCCTTGTTTCATGTCATTTCCTTCTTGGCTCTGATGAAGTCGGGGCCGAATATCCTGAGAGAGTTGACGATGGTGGAGGGGGCAGAAAAGCCTTTTACTGAGCAGGAAAACGTCTTTTGGTTATCAAGCCAGCTCAGGCCTCAACCTCTGTTTGTGTTTCCTTAATTCTTTTATTTTCTTCCACCTTTTCCTCCACTTATTTCTTCTACATTCTTGTAAAACATGGAGATATTTGATAGGAGATCCCCCCTCCTACCCTACCTTCTTATGTGCACTAACAACTAGCATTTTCCAAAGGTCCATAGATTCATTTGGTGGAGTCAGACAGACCTGTTAAATGGAATATCATTCTAAGGTTTAGCTGGTTTAAACCAGTGCTGCTCAATGCAGCACAGAGAGAGAATATTTTTTTTTTAAATTCCACTTCTAGACACTCAAAGAACACAACAAATGTATTTAAAGGTTAAAAAGTGGATTTTGCATGATATGTTCTCTTGAAATCAAAACAAAGTGCATAGTTTATTCAATGCCAGCTTTGTTGTTATGGGGAAGTTTATGGCCTTTAAAAGTCTTACATTTGTGTTTCAAGATCATAGAATAATCCTCTATGCAGATGACACTCACCTTTTTGTACCAAGTTTAATCATTATATTTGCTATATAACAAGCATAACCAGATGTAATGTCTAATTTGGATGTTTTTTAATTCAAACAAATCTCCCTGTCATTCGCCTCCATAGCTAGCAAATTATGTTATTTTAATTTCTCTGTACTTTTGTTGTTTGCAGATGATGAGCTGCTGATTGAGCGAAGCATCTACAAGGGAAAGATTAATCCTGGCGAGGGGAGGCAGCCAGTAGAACATAAAAGCTTCATCGCCACAATTAAATACACCATGCGTGTGCGCTGTGATGAACACTACTATGGCATGAGATGCAACAATGTATGTCGTCCCCGTGACGACTATTTTGGACATTATGTGTGTGACCATTTTGGGAAGAGGCATTGTATTGAAGGCTGGGATGGAGAGGATTGCAAAACAGGTGAGCAGAGTGTATGCTGTGGTGGCATAGGGGGTAGCGCGACCCACGTTTGGAGGTCTTGAGACCCTGACGCGGCCATCGCGGTTTCAATTCCCAGACCTTACGATATTTCCCGCATGTCTTTCCACCTTTCCTGTCGGTGACACTGCAGCCCACAAAACCCCCCTGGAGGGAAAAAAAACAACAAATAAACAAACAAACAAAAAAAATCAGGTGAGTAAGATACAGAAGAATACAGACTAAAAGGGAATAGAGTTGCAAATTAAAAAAAAATACTTCTAAATTTTTGGACACAAGTCAGTTCAATGAACAAAATTTTTACATAAAAATAAGTTTTCTTCACTTTGACTTTTCTTGTTTCCCTAATTAAGAGTTGATATATGTGTATATTTTTAAGAAATTCAAAGGCAGTTGAAAAAAAAAGAGAGCAGAGTCATAAGCAGAGCAGCTGAACAGAATAAGAACTACACAGAAATGCTTCCTTGGATCACTGGTCACACGTCCAAAGTCAGATCTGACTTTCTTGTTTGCTGTTTTGGAAAAAGCTCAGAGGCTGAGTTCATGTAAGCTCCTGTCAGTGTTGAAAACCACCCCAACTCTTTCAGTTTCCCATCCACTGCAAAAACAACAACTTCGTCCCACAAGCAGACACATATTCAGATTTCCAGAGCGATATTGGGGTTTTCTGTGAATTAAAATAGGTAATCAGTAGGAATCTTTTTCATGACTCAAAATTATGTTTTCTTTTTTTCTCTCAAAGCCATCTGTAAACAGGGATGTAGCTCATTACATGGGACCTGCAACACCCCTGGGGAATGCAAGTAAGTCAGCTCTTTTATACATGTGTATGTTTGTCACTGTTGGCTTCTCTGGCCACATGATCTATTCATGTCAGATGATGGATTTCACTATAACTATGTACATACGTATGTATGTATGCATGTATGCATGTATGCATGTATGTATGTATGCATGCATGCATGTATGCATGTATGTATGCCGGCTCAGACGTCGCCCGGCCAAACAAGGTCTGCGTCAGGTGTTGGGGAACCAGAGCACCTTGATGACAAATGGGCTACTGGAACAAGACGGAAATGGGCGAGAGGTGAAAACTTGGATCTGTTGGAATGCTACTACTCAAGAGAGTGGTAATCAGAGAGGTTACATGCAAAGACTGGGGAAGGAATGGTTACTTCGACATCCCCAGTCAACACTAAGCGCTAAACAACTAGTAGCTCAGTGTTCCAACATCCGCAAACGGCAACTGCTATCACAACTTGAGATTGACGAGATACAACACAAATGCTACAGCAAAAAGGAGGAACCTGGATGTCAGAACTGTGGGGACTTAACTACAAGTCCCCACCCAGTGAGGGGATACACGGCCCCAATGAGCGAATCAGAGCTGAACGAGACAGCTGCTGACCTGAGAGAGAGAATCATGACCCGAATGACAACCAGACCTCCTCGGCGCCAATTACAACCGCTGAGTGAAGTACCATCAGAAAGCCTCAGTACCAGAAAGTACTCTCAATGGCAGGGTAATAACAGAGCAGACCCACCAAGGTTGGAGACACCTTTATCTCACTTCTCAGCCTACACAAATCCAAAGCAATGTTGTGCGGAAGTTTGCAAGTTGTGGCACAAAATTCAGGGGTGAAGCACATCAAAAGGCATCAACACAGAGAGTCTAATATGACATTTGAAAAAGAAACACTTGACAGAACATGATTACATCGAGGATCAATGCAGGAAAAAAAGCGAACAGACAGCAGGTAAAGCAGCACAGTACCAACATTCACCTGAATTAGCATGACTGTCCGAAAGCTAAACAAATAACAATAACAAATAACCCAAAAAATAATTTTAGTCAATGAGCTCGCGGTGTAAAATGCTGGTTCTGCTCTCATTGTTGATCCACCACTACACGCTACTAGTAGTAATATTTCAGATACGGAGAGCCGTTCAACCTCCGCCAAGCAGTGAACTCTCACACCGAACGCCTGCTTCAAATTACTCACCTGCAGCATGTGACTTTAGCAAAATATTTAAATCTTTTGCTGTCCTAACATAAAACAGATAATCTCTGGAAAATAAAAAATAAAAACTCGAGCTCCTCTTCCTCCTTCTGGCATTCTGCAGAACTCAGCTCAGTCAGAAAGATCAGAACCAGATCTAAACCGCCATGTTCTCAGGAAGTTTTGATTTAGTAATCGTTTATTTTGATGCAACCTGCTTTTGACTTTGAATGTACGTTTCCTTTTTTACTTGACATCATGACATAGGCAGTGTTGAGATTTATTTGACTCATGTATAATTTAGTGTACCGCGAACCTTGCTGTTAAATATTATATTACTGCTTGCAGATTTTTCAGTTATCCTTTTGGCTGAGAAGCTGCTGTATTGTACCTGCAAGTATTTGGCATGTTTGTCTAAATTAGGTGAATTTATTGTCAGATCATTTTTCAATTTTGCCAGATTGCATGGCATTTACAGTAGCATAGTAGCAGGAAGTGAAAAATCAACAGCCAATCCAGGTAATCGGCAGTGATTGGCCCTCAGAATCGACTGCAAAAAACCTGATGCAGAATGCATCCCTATTGCCTAGCAAATAACCCAATCAGAGAATTTCACATTTGATTATTTTGTTTTTGCTGAAATAGTCAAAGGAAGTTCTCCATTTGCAACAGCAAGTGGCATTTCAGCAATGTGGTCTGAGTTCATCTTTAAGATGATGAATGCGTGGTTCTCGATGGATTAAAGTAGCACTTTTAAACTGTTTGTGTGCCGACATTCTGCATCCTCTGTAGACAAATAATACTAGTTAATTGTTTTCTGCTAAAGTTGGCATCTGTTTCTTCTTGAGAGTTGGTTTCATAATTTCTGTTGAGTTTGGATTATATTTGATTTACCGGTAGTTTAAATTGTAGAATATTTAACCAGATAAAAGATAAAAGGGATTATTTTATACTAAACAGATTTAATCTATTTGTGAAGACACAAATTGGGAGCATTTGCCAGGGTTTCATCGGCATTAGGAGTTCCTTAAAATTGGAAAAGCAGAAAAAAGTCAATGAGAACTACTCAAGGAATACTCAAACACTAACTGAATTATTCAACACTTACTCTCTAACATGCATTTTTTCTGCAACAATAAACTATATTTTGTGTTATTATAATATAAAAACATGAGTAATTATGATTTACAAAAAAATCTGGTACCATTTATGTGAAAGCAATATTATGTGTCATCTTGTATTGGGATCTGGGTGCATCATTCCACTCCTACAAATAGGTCGCTAATTGTGTGGATACATGCTATTGAAGTTGCTTTCTAAGCCAATAATTGACTGAAACACAAAATAGAGGCCGCTAGCAAAATAAATGTATTTGTGCTGAAGCACTCAGATATAGCCTATGTAGACTGTAATAACACCTCGAGCTCGCAAAATATGATGATACGCAAGATTGATGCAGAGATGACGCACGACTAAAGTAAAGGTTTCTTTTGTCACGTTTTAAAGAGTCAGTACTTAGCCTATAGTTTCCTAGTGAAGATTATTTTTGGGTGTTATGTTTGTCTAACTTTAAAGAAATTACTAAATCCTAAAACAATTCAGTAGCACCTTCTGAGACACTAGTTTAATGATAAATATTTTGGGCTATGTGAACTTGGTTTGATGCTAGATTTGACGTACAACTTTTACATTGTTATCTTCAAGCTACAATCTGTGGTGTTGTACATTGATGTAGTTAACTTAAGTTCTATTTTAACAATGCAGAGACACTGAGCTGCCAGCAGACAAAGGTAACACAGTGTGGAGAACTTGGAAATGCCAGGAGTGCAGTGAGAAGAAGGGGTTAAGGTGTTTTAAAGATGCACATTTGATTTAGTTAAGCACTCATAAATAATGAAGCTGACATTTCTCACTGAAAATGGCCAGAGGAGAGAGAGAAACACCCAGGAATGTGCCTCAACATGTGATCTGAAGCTTCATAGCTATGAGGGCAAACGCACACAAATTGACTCCTGTGAAAAGAGAAGAGAGGATAAGAGCTTCTTTATTATGGATTTCTGGGTCATTGTTTAAATTTATCAAAACAGATGCAGAAAAAAGGCTTTCTTAAGTTGCAATGGGTAAGTCAGTTGGGCCTGCTGGGTTTTACAAGAACATGGTTCAGGAAAAATTACAACATTGCTTATAATGCTCTCATGCTATAAAAAACTGAGTTTTCCCTGCTCTTGTTCACTTTCCTTAATTTTTTCTTTCTGAATTATAATTGTTCTAAACTTTTTGCTGCCATTTTCTGTTGATTAATGGGACATCACATGCACAGACTTCTTAATGTGCATGCATAGGCATGCGTACTCATTGCATGTATGCTATTCTGACAGCTTATGATGATCTGATAGAACTCCCCCTCTGAACTGCTTCTGCCCACCTGGATGTAGTGCTTCTGAGGGGCAGGCATTGTGGCCAGGCAAGGTATTTTAGGCTCTGGCAGCCCCAAGAGCCTCTTCTGTTGATGGGACAGCGGGATAGTGAAAGGGCTCATGGATTATGCCACCCTTTGGCTTGTGTCTGCCTAAAACATTTTCTATACCCTCCCACACTCTCCTCACCGACAACACTGCTGTTCAGGCTGACAGTAAGCAGCGCATTGACCGCACAGTCGGTCTAAGCTATGCGCAGCAGACCCTCCTCTCACTCTTGATTCTGCTCCACATTCTATGACATTAAAAAAATGAACTCAGCAAATTGTTGCTAGATGACGCTATGCCCAAATATGAGTTAGAATTTCAAATGTAGCATATTTTCATAAGTTTATTAAAACAAATTTTACTTGTTAAAGTAAGAAAAACCTGCTTTTTTAAAAATACAAAATAACATTGCTGAGTGAATTCAGCACTCTCTGAGTGTTATGGGACCTTTTCAAAGTCCCATATCATATTGCATTAAGAAGACATTGTGCATGCTCAGAAGTTCACTCTGAAGTAAATTTAGTGGTACAACTGTTTTTAAGAAGATATTATGAATAGGGAAGCTCGGATCAGGTGGCAAAATGGAAAACATCTGACAATAAATTTAGCTAATTTAGACATGAAACATGAAAAATACTTGCAGGCACAATGCAGCAGCTACTCGGTCAAAAGGACAATTGAAAAACCTTCAAGCAAGAATATAATTAACAACAAGGTTCGCGGTACCCTAAATTATACATGAGTCAAATAAATCTCACAACACTGCCTATGTCATGATGTCAAGTAAAAAAGGAAACATACATTCAAAGTCAAAAGCAGGTTGCATCAAAATAAACAGTTACTAATCAAAACTTCCTGAGAACATGGCAGTTTTTTTCTGGTTCTGATCTTTCTGACTGAGCTGAGTTCTGCAGAATGCCAGAAGGAGGAAGAGGAGCTCGTTTTTTTTTTGTGTTTTTTTTTCAGAGGTTATCTGTTTTATGTTAGGACAGCAAAAGTTTTAAATATTTTGCTAAAGTTACATACTGCAGGTGAGTAATTTGAAGCAGGCGTTCGGTGTGAGAGTTCACTTTTTTCCTGCAGTGATCCTCGATGTAATTATTAGACTCGTTATGTTGATGCCTTTTGACATGCTTCACCCCTAAATTTTGCGCCACAACTTGCACTCTCAGAGCGTTATAATTCCATACATTGCTTCGGATTTGCTGCTGCGCAGAGTGAAGAAAAGCGGCTGCGACGTGAGATCACACCATCTCACTTATGGAACAAGTTCGGCAGTGATCATCGGTGATAACGACCACACACTTTTTATGGAAATCAGCCCTTGTGATCAGTGGC